TAGAAGAACTATTAAACATGTTTAACTACTAAAACTATTAAGCTCAGGAAAGCAATGCAAACATTGTTGTTTAATTTGTGCCGTTTTTACTTGTAATTAATGTTTTATGTGCTGTATACCCTTCTAATGCTCTGTAATATGATATTTTGTTTGTATTGTATTCCTGCTCGTTTCTGAAAAGGTGGTCAGATTATCATTAACTAAAACCATAAAAAAGTTTAATTTGAAATAAAATAAACTTAACTGAAATAAAATAAAACCTTAAACTTACTTTATTCCAAGGAAACATTCTCATTTAACTTAATGTATTAAAATAACTAAATTAATACATTTAAATAAAAAAAATAAACTATATAGACATTGAAAAAAAATAATAAAAGTGACACAACAAAATTACTAAAACTAAAATTAAAATGATAATACATTTAATATATTTATAAAATATAAAAATAAAAACTAATCCAAAATATTAATTAAAACTATTATATATATATATATACATATAAAACAACACTGAGCCAGACTCTAAAGTATTACAAATACAAGTACAAATACAGTAGGCTTGTGTGCAACCCTTTAGATCGCGAAATTTGCGTCAAAATAATTTTCATTCATCTCAATAAATGATTGGTGTGTTTTGAAGAAGTATCTGTGACAAACCACCAATAAATCACAATAATCCTGTGCTATAACCACTGCGCTGGTTTCTGCAGGTGCTGTTGGTCAGCAGCAGTCGAAACCCGGATCAGTGGATTGTTCCTGGAGGAGGAATGGAGCCGGAGGAGGAGCCGTGTGGAGCTGCTGTACGGGAGGTCTTTGAGGAGGTGACACATTGTCTTTTAACATCATTTCTAGCAGTCAGGGTTTTACTGGTGTTATTTACCTGACTTTGGGAGTCTCATGGCTAAATGAAAGATTTTTGTGGATTTGATCTCTCTCCTTCTCTCTCTCTCTCCCTCAGGCTGGAGTGAAGGGTAAATTAGGACGTTTGCTCGGTGTGTTTGAGGTAAGGCTCTTCTCTCTCTCCTGATTGGACGGTTGAGACTCCTGAATGGATGTATCATGAGATGAGGCGATTACAGTCCCTCTTACTGAAAGAGTTTATTTTTCAACAACAGCAGAACCAGGACCGGAAACACCGGACGTATGTGTATGTTCTGACGGTCACAGAGACGCTGGATGCCTGGGAGGACTCGGTCAATATTGGTGAGTTTGTGTGTGTTTGTGTGCTGCTTCTTTTGTGATGGATCTGAAGGTATTTAGCCCTCGGGGTCTCATGATTGTTCAGCTATTTCCTGACTGCATGTATATTATACACACACACACACACACACTGGTTTCATGCTGTTGAGTCTATAAGTCTGAGACCACAAGTGAAAATGCCTCTATTTGCATGTGTTTTTAAATTTAATGATTTTTTTATTTAATTGAATTCATATATTTATTGCAAAAATATAAATAACAGGATCTATACAGGATATATTTTTCAACTGCCTTCTTATCCCCCATTAATAAAATAAAATTCAGTTCAGTTCAATTGAATTCAATTTAACTATATCTTTAAGAAAACAAGAAAATAGACATAAATATTTAATGGCCTTCCCATCCTTTCCCTGCTCCCTTAATTTATATTTTTATGTAATTTTATTTTATTTTATAATTTAATTGAAAACATATCATTATTGCAAAAATGTGAAAGATAAGAACATTTAAAAAAAAAAAAGAAACTCAATATACATATATTTTAACTGCTTTCCCATCATTTCCTGCTCCCTAAAAATAAATTAATCTTTAAAATTTACATTTATTTAATTAGATTTTTAAATTTAATTTAAATCATATCTTTATTGCAAAAATATAAAGGATAACAAAATGTACTTTTTTTTTTTTAACTGCCCTCCCACTTCAATTCAATTCAACCTTATCGTTATTGCAAAAATATGAAAGATTACAAGAAAATCTCAAAAACAGTAAAAAAAAAAATTATACATTATTTTTAAGTGCTTTCCCATCCTCCCCTTTAAACTCAATTCAAATTTCAAAATATGAAAGATAAAAAGAAAATCTCCAAAAAAATGTAACCCCCTTAATAAAATTTTTTTTTTTTTACATTTTATTTTATTCCATTTTATTATTTAATTGTATTTAATTTAATTTAAAAACGTATTTAATTCAATAATAAAACACTATTGCATGATGATGATCCATGTTTTAAGAAAGTTTTAAGACCCCACAATATATTTCATAATATTCTAATATTTACAGTCTTTGCAGTGTATTTTGCTCATGCTGCAGTATTTGTCCCGTAGGCCGGAAGCGTGAGTGGTTTCCCGTCGATGAGGCCATCAAGGTCCTGCAGAGCAACAAACCCGTTCACGCCGAGTACCTGAGACGCCTGCGGATCAGTCGCCCATCCAGCACCACCAACGGCAACCTGCTCCTGCCCCAGACATCTCCCAGCACCCTCACACCGCTCTTCAGCGCTCCGGCGTCAGCCGCACGCAGATAGGACACACACACACTCAGTACAACACACACACGTCTACATGAACCACCCACACACATCTCCAGGGCCTTTATGACCCTCACAGCACCTCTTAGGCACCTTTGGGATGTTCTTTAGAGGGACAAACCAAAGTCGTGTGGGATTTCTGGTGAAGAATGCCTTAACCATTTATTTTTGAAGTCGGTTACTGTCGGCTGATGGGTTTTAGTTGTTGTAATGGAATAATAATTATTGACCAGCTTTACATAGCAGTTACATGGAAGTGCACTTCCATTATTCCTCCATCACACTGACTCGCAGAGCTCGGCATTCTGGGATTGTGACGTAGGGAATGTCAGTTTCATTCCACGCGGCTTTATCAGCGTTTGACCTCCGAATTCAGTCTGTTAGCGCTGTCGTGACCCCAGACTTCCCTTTAAGACTCAGACGAGCCCTTTAAAAGCCCCCTTCATTGCTGCTCCTGACCGGATAACTGGATTCCTGAAAGCATCAGAGATTCTGGTCGATGAGATTTCTGGGAATTAGTTGGTGAGCAGGAGGGTCGTAATCTCATTTTATGCTTTGATTAAAAAACAAACGTTTGTAAATATACTAAAAGACTGAAGATGACAAATGATGTATGATGGTTTTTAACTAAAATGCAAATGTATTAATCTTTTCTGCTCTTAACTCTTTCTATGAGGTCTTTCTTTAGGTGATTTTGAAAAGAGAACAGAACTGTGAATTTTGTCAGAGAAAAAAAAGAAATGCTAACGGGTAAATCTCATGGAACTGGTCAAGAACATGCACAGGTCATATTTCAGTACAAAAATTATATATATATATATAAAATGAAAGATAAAGCAGCCTTTTTTCAAGACCGTTCGAATTTTTATGGCACATTTTCCTATATTGTTATTACTATAGTGCACAATGAATGATGTATTATTTAAATTATATTGTATTTATACAGTGTGGTATTATTTGTTTTATTGCCCTTAATTCATGCTTATTTAATTAAAAAAATATATTTTGTACTGTAAATACTGTATTACAGTAATTAACACCTAATAAGTATAACAATTAAAAATGGAAACTTTAAAGAAGATGTAATGTTAAAAAAAGAAATCATTAAAATAGGTTTCATTTTCTTGATGCAAAAAAATCTATCTATTTATATTTTTATAGATCACAATATAAAAAAAATTTTAAAGGTCATTAAAAAGGCTACATAAAAAAATTACATTAAAAAATATATATACATATATAAAATGAAATATGAGCTGTAAATGTTTCGTGAGATTAACCCAAATGAATCTTTGGCACCAGCAAAGCCTTGAATATCTGTCAGATGTGAGGATTGGGTGCCTTTTTCCTTTTTTAAAACGTTTAACAACACATTGTACTGTCATTGTTTTTTGTTTGAAACACTGATGTACATTTGTTGATGGCTGCTGCTGTGAATGCATCTCTCCAGTGGCTGTCAGTGGGCTGATCTCAGATCTGCTGTAATCACACTGAACCCCAACACGTCCCTCCAGCTCATGTTTAGTTTGTGTGTGCTTGCGGATATGTTTTGATGTGTGAAAACGAACAGGTCAGTGCCAGTCGTTCATTTGGATTGAGCGGATGTACAAATAACACTTTCCTTTAGATTACACTGAGATGTGAAGTGTCAACAGCAAAACTAACTAAATGTACATTTCCTAAAACATTTGGACTATGTCCTTTAGTAAAACAACAAACAGGAGTGTTATGGTGAAGTTATTTGCCACACGAGATGTACAGTCTAATATCTCGGGTTTTCACAATGAATTCTGATACTTTGTGAGGCGTGAACTGTAAACTGCATTAGGCCTGAGGAGTGTTTTAATAGATTTACAGGTTTGTGAGTCAGATTAACTGTCTCTTACCTGTTCTGAGATGCCAACGGGTCCACAGTTTCTGTGTGTTTACTGTAATCTGTACAGATGTTCATAATGGGTATTTTTATTTGTCAATAAAGATTGTATCACAAGGAAGAAATGTGAATTGTGATGAATTATGATGACATCTTCTGATGAATCATGAGACAAATAATGCCAATTTCTAATCATTCATCTGCCATCTTAAAACCTTGTAGGGTATAATAATAATTATTATTATATATATATATATATATAAATCACAACACACCAACTGATTTCACTTTTTTACAGCAATGAGTTAAAATTGTGGAAAATGAACGTCTTATCCTCGTTTTTAAGCCAATTTACAAATTGTTACAAATAAATACATATACATATAGAAATGAATGAGTTTGCCATAATTTCTAGCAAAATGCCATCAATAAAACTGTAGTGCCATATTAGTCAGGCACTGTCGTACAGAAGAATGTTATTCTGCTTTTTACATTGATTTGCAAAAAATAATTAATTTATTACGGTTTTACAGTAGTAAAATGAAATAGTATTTTGGCGGGAACTATCATACCATGGTGAATTGGTGTCAGCTCTGTGGTAGCGGAACCAAATGTCATCGCGCTGCAGCGCACCGGAAGGCTGTGAGTGTAACACTGAGTTCCCCAGCAGACAGCTTTGCGGGGCCCATGTGGATCTGGCAGACCCGAGCGAAACAGCGGCTTAAAAATCCCCGAATCAAGCCGATCTTTCACGCTAATGCGAGCTCTTTAGTTCATCCGTGTGTGTGAACTAGTGAAGATGCTGAAGGAGGCGTTAGACGGGCAGCTTACAGCGCTTTATAACGCGGTCGCCGGTGAGTGTGACGGTAATGATGAGAGACACAGCAGATCTGCATCCTCCCGCTGACATACACTCATCTGGACACATCACACTTTATATTGGAAAGATTTCTCACAGTCACATGTTGTATTGTCATGCGCTATCGCTGACATTAATCATTTCGAGCTGAGATGAATGAAGACAGAAACAAATGATCACCCTTTCTGTCACCAAACTTCTGTACGTTTGTTTTAGATTGATTTTAATTTATGTAAAGAGAAGTTTTGTCTAAAACGCTTGTCTAAAAATAGTGAAAACAAAGTAAAAAGTAATCTTGCTTTTGAAAAACGGACATATGTCATTTAGAGCAAATGTACAGGTATTTAATAAGATTTACTAAGAGGGACTCTTTATGCAATAATGATGGCTGTGAAAAAAATCCCTGATGTGGTATGTGGCAGATACTGTACTAATAACTATTTTTTGTTATGTTTATATATATATATATAATACAGTAACAAATAATAAATAATAATATTTATTATTTTAATTTATAGATGTTGGGGTTATAAGTAAAAAAATAAAGTAATAAATAGCAATAATTATTTTGTTAAACGAATAAATCATTTCAGTTATTAAAATTGTTGAAAACAGTTGTGCTGCTTCATTCTTATATATATATATGTATATGTTTTATATATAATAATATTTATCTGTAATTTTAACACTGTTATGTTGGGGTGGGGGGAAAAAAAGCTTTAAATTATAAGTAAAAAAAAAATAATAAAGTGCTAAATAGAATGAATATAATTTATGTATTGAAATGACCTTCAATATTGTGTTTTTTTTTTCCCTGTACAAGGAAATACTGTTTATGCGATGGATTTTTGCCTCGTGTCTTTGTCTCAGCCTCAGAGCAGGTTCAGGTTGAGCCGGTGGGTCGCTGGTTCGAGGCGTTTCTGAAGCGCAGGACTAGAAATGTGTCGGCCTCGTTTCAAGAGCTGGAGGAAGAGGAGCAGCTGTCTGAGGAAGAGGAGGATGAGGAGCTGCAGCTGGAGGAGTATCCCATGCTAAAGACACTGGACCCCAAAGACTGGAAGGTGTGTGTAGAGACTGCGATCTGTGTCAGAGCGTGAGACTCTGAACTGAATGCATTGACACGCTTCTCTTGACCTTACAGAACCAAGATCACTACGCTGTTTTAGGTCTCGCACACATCCGGTACAAAGCAACCCAGAAACAGATCAAAGCTGCTCGTAAGTTTGACTTTGTGTGTGTTTGGAAATCTTTGTACAATAATGGTCAATAGTTTGTAATTTTTTTTTTATGTTTATGAAAGAAGTCTCTTCTGCTCACCAAGGCTGCTTTTATTTGATCAAAAATACTGTAAAAATTGTGAAATATTATTACGAGTTAAAATAACTGTTTTCTTTGTGAGTATATTGTGAAATGTAATTTATTCCTGCGATCAAAGCTGTATTTTCAGCATCATTACTCCAGTCTTCAGTGTCTCATGATCTTCAGAAATCATTCTGATATACTGATTTGCTGCTCGAGAAACATTTCTAAGTTTGTTAATGCTGAAAACAGCTGTGCTGCCCAATATTTTTGTGGAACTACCGTTCAAAAGTTTAGAGTCAGAAAGTTTTATTTTTTTTTAAAGAAATTAATGCTTTTATTTATCAAGGATGCATAAAATTGATCAATAGTGACGGTAAATACATTTTTAATGTTACAAAAGATTTCTATTTCAAATAAATGCTGTTCTTTTGATCTTTCTATTCATCAACAAATCCTTAAAATATTTTTTCCCACAAAAATTCAACAAATTTTCAACATTGCTAATAATCAGAAATGTTTCTTGAGCAGCAAATCAGCATATTAGAATGATTTCTGAAGATCATGTGACACTGAGACTGGAGTAATGATGCTGAAAATACAGCTGCGCATCACAGTAATCAATTACATTTCACAATATATTCACAATTCACGGGGAAGTTGTGGCCTAATGGTTAGAGAGTCGGACTCGTAACCCAAAGGTTGCGGGTTCGAGTCTCGTACCGGCAGGGATTGTAGGTGGGGGGGGTGAATGTACAGCGCTCTCTCCCACCTTCAATACGGTGAGGTGCCCTTGAGCAAGGCACCGAACCCCCAACTGCTCCCCGGGCGCCGCAGCATAAATGGCTGCCCACTGTGTTCACGGTGTGTGTGTGTTCACTGCTGTGTGTGTGCACTTTGGATGGGATAAATGCAGAGCACTAATTCCGAGTATGGGTCACCATACTTGGCCACATGTCACTTCACAAAGAAACCTGCTATTTTAAATTTAAATAATATTTCACATTTTTTACTGTGTAATAAATGGAGCTTCGGTGAGCAGAAGACACTTCAAAATAGTAAAGAGTAGCCTATTTTGCAGTAACATGCTGCTGTTCTCCACAGATAAAGCCATGGTCCTCAAACATCACCCGGACAAGCGGAAAGCAGCAGGAGAGCAGATTGTGGAGGGAGATAATGATTATTTCACTTGCATAACAAAAGGTTTGGACTTTATTGCTTTAACACTCAAGACGGCTTTGCCCTAAATCATCTAAACAGCTTTTGTTGACAGCTGCTATGAATTACTGTATCTAATTCCTAAGCAAGGTTAATGTCTTTTTCTCCGTGTCTAAGAAAGCCACACTCGTTGTGCTAAATGCTTTTTATTAAGAGTTTTCAGCATGTCAGAAGGGATCGGTTTGCCTTGTTTACCATTCTCGGGGGATAATTTGTCGTAAGCATCTTCATAGATGTAGTTCCGTCGAATGGTGATATTAACGCCATCCAAAAAAGGGCCCTCTCCTTGCACTTCATGCTTATCAGCATAGATCAACTTCTGAAAGATCTAAAAGCAGAATGAACAAAGTTTAGCTGATTAACATCATTTAACACATCAGAATCTAGGCATGTATTCCCTTTAGATTTTCACTTGCATTTCATATCTAAAGCACAAAACAATGTCATCACCTAATTACAATTTTTAACCTTCTTTTTAATTCACAGATGACTGAAATTTGAATTTTTGAAGTGTTGTGCACAAAACACTACACACCATACCAGTGATGGCTGTCTTACCTTCACTCTCTCTTCAAAGGGCACAACAAACGGAAGTTCGGTGAGGATTGCCAAATGTCTCTCCTCTGATACTGACAACGGTGGAGGCTCCAGTCCAACTGTGAGGAACACAAAAACAATTTCTGTAACCTTTATTCTTAAAGTAATCTTTTAACCTATATCTCTTTTCAAAACTACAACATCTCTAAAGCCAAATATCCTCAACAAAGATCTACTGATATGTTCAATGCGGGTGATGCAAGATAAAATCCTCTTGCGTCATTTCCCTTGTCACTTCTTGCCCTCGCACTTACGCATGTAAATGAGTAAAGAATGAAAATGGCAAAAATAAAATAAACATCTACAAATATAATGAAAACACCCAATACTCTGTTTTTTCACCTTTAGAAATCTATACAATCATTTATCAATCTGCTCTTTAACTTACAACAAAAGACAACAGTGACAAGCAATTCACTCAAAAAGCACAGAATTCATCTGCCTCTATCTTCATCTATCCTGTCGACAGTCAATCTCTAAAGCTCTCTATTCATCATCCAGACAAATATACTACCAGTAAACCCAAATTCCTCCCCACCTTAACATGCCATTATATTAGCACTCTAATTAAAAAATTACAATTATACACTACCGTTTTAAAGTTTGCGGTAAGATTTTTAACCAGAAATGAAATGAATACTTCTATTTATAAAAGGAAGGACACATTAAAAGAAACGGTAAATACATTTTTAATGTTACAAAAGATTTCTATTTCAAATAAATGCTGTTCTTTTGATCTTTCTATTCATCAACAAATCCTTAAAATATTTTTTCCCACAAAAATTCAACAAATTTTACTGTGTAATAAATGGAGCTTCGGTGAGCAGAAGACACTTCAAAATAGTAAAGAGTAGCCTATTTTGCAGTAACATGCTGCTGTTCTCCACAGATAAAGCCATGGTCCTCAAACATCACCCGGACAAGCGGAAAGCAGCAGGAGAGCAGATTGTGGAGGGAGATAATGATTATTTCACTTGCATAACAAAAGGTTTGGACTTTATTGCTTTATTCTAAGCGAAATAAAGGTGTTTGTGCATACGAGAGGTTCTTGATCTGCTCTCGTGTGATGCAGCGATGGAGATGCTGTCGGATCCCGTGAAGCGGAGAGCGTTTGACAGCGTGGATCCCACGTTTGACAACATGGTTCCTTCAAAAGCAGAAGGCAAAGAAAACTTCTTCGAGGTGTTTGCGCCGGTGTTTGAGAGGAACAGCAGGTAAACGCCTCTCATGACCGATTCAGATGATTCAGGTTGAGTGCTGGAGATCACGCTGCTGTGTTTCTCTCAATCAGATGGTCTGTTCAAAAACACTTCCCGAGTCTGGGAGCCCTGGACGCGTCTTTTGAAGAGGTGGATCATTTCTATTCCTTTTGGTAAGAAAAATATCAAATTTATTCATAGATTTTGAGGCAAACTAATGCTGGAAGAAAAAAAAGATAATTTTTTCCCTTTTGTTTCTGAAGGTACAACTTTGACTCGTGGAGAGAATTTTCATATTTAGATGAAGAGGAAAAGGAAAAAGCTGAATGGTGAATAATACTTTGATCATATGTTATTGGTTTTGGTTTAGTATTTTGTAAAATTGTAATTATTACTGCATGTGGTTATTATAGGTAACACACTAAACCATAAAAAAAACGTTTAACTGAAAAACAGAAAAGTTGCTAGTTGCCAAATTCTTATCGAATTTGAATTGAAAGTAACAAAAACCAAAATAAAAATTATTTTAAAAACTATCTAGACATTTAAAAAAAAAATGACAACACAACAAAATGACTTCAACTTTAATTAAAATTGTGAAAACAAAATATACGAATGAAACAATAATCAAATTATAAAAAAATATATACTAAACTAAATTTAAATTAATCTGAAAACAAAATATTAATTAAAATTAAAATGAACAATTGTAAATAAATCACTAATTAAAGTGATTTAATTAATTACAATTAAAAAAAGAAAAGATTAAATAAAAAAATCAAGTTAACTACAACTACAATAGTTTCTCAATTCTATTAAAATAACACTGTTTCCTTTTTGTGTTTGTGTGTGATTTTGCTATCAGTCGAGATGAGAGGAGGTGGATTGAGAAACAGAACCGAGCCTCTCGAGCTCAGAGGAAGAAGGAAGAGATGAACAGGATACGGACACTCGTTGGTAAGTTTGGGGTGAGACACGAGAAACATGATCTTACTGTGAGCGTCTGTGTGAATGTGTGTGATGTGATGCAGACACGGCCTACAACTGCGACCCGCGAATAAAGAGATTCAAAGAGGAGGAGAAAGCCAGGAAAGAGTCGGAGAAGAAGGCCAAAGCCGAGGCGAAGAAACGAGAGCAGGAGGAGAAGGAGCGGGTCAGTGCTCACTGTTTCAAATGACACATGAGCAACTCTGGTACAATGTGTGCTTTAGCTCTTACTAACACATTTCTGAAAGTGTTTCACACCTCACTTTATTTGTGTTTTTCCATTTTTCTGTTTTGAATATGTTTTGTTTGATGAAGCTGTAAATTACCAAATATCAACAGATTAAATCTGCATATGATATTTTATTTGTATATATAAATTTAAACGTACAATGATCTGAACCCATATTAGGGTCTCGGTAGTTACATATAGTTACTTTCCATTACTCAGTACTTTCTTATGTAAGTATCCTGTAAACTAAATTAGTGACTTTAATCTGTTGTATACTGTATATTGTCTATCAGGGATCCTCGGTTCTCTCTCACTGTTTTACGTGTGCAGGCGCGTCAGGCGGAGGAGGAGGCGGCGCGGATGCGGAGGGAGAAGGAGGAGGAGGCGGCGCGACAGGTGGCACAGCAGGCCAAGAAAGAGAAAGAAGCCCAGAAGAAAGCCATCAAGAAAGAGCGGCAGAAGCTCAGGACGACCTGCAAGGCAGGAGACCCTCCACATGATCTCACACACATTCAGCTCTCCGAGAGCTTCCCGTCCTCATCTCTGTCTCTCTGCTTCTCTCAGACTCACAGCTACTTCACAGACAATGAAGCCGACGGCGTCAGGATGATGGAGGAGGTGGAGAAACTCTGCGACCGCTTGGAGCTGACCAGGTGAAGCTTGGAAATGTGATGGCGGTTTACTGCTCTTCTTGTGAGTTGATTCTCTGAAACACAGCTGCATGTGGGAGGAATATTGAGGTTTTTGGTTTGATTTGTAGTTTGCAGACGCTGAATGAAGCTTTGGCCTCTGGGAATAAAGAGCAGAGTAAAGCAGCTCTGGAGAAACAGGTGAGAAACACAAACCGGTCAAAACCACCCCATTTACCCTGTTTGCTTTAAGCTATAAATCTGTGTGTGTACTCAAACATTTGGGGTCTGCATGGTTTTTAAAAGAAGTCTCTTGTTTTCACCAAGGCTGCATTTATTTGATCAAAAATACAGTAAAAATTGTGAAATATTATTACAATTTTGAATAACTGTTTTCTGTGAATATACAGTAAAATGTAATTTATTCCTGTGATCAAAGCTGAATTTTCAGCATCATTACTCCAGTCTTCAGTGTCACATGATCTTCAGAAATCATTCTAATATGCTGATTTGCTGCTCAAGAAACATTTCTGATTATTATCAATGTTGAAAACAGTTGTGAAGCCCAATATTTTTGTGGAAACTGCTATGTTTTATTTTTTTAGGATTTTTTTGATGAATAGAATGTTTAAAAGAACAGCATTTATTAGAATTATAAATAATAATTCTAATTATTCGACAAATCAATTCTAATACAATCGACAAATCTTAATATTATTTTAATTAATATTAATTAATATTATAATATCTGTGACATACACTCTTATTATAATGAAAGCTGAATACCAAAGCATTATTATACGTAACAAATAATGACAAAAAATAATTAAAGCAATAACAAATATTATTAAGGTAGATTTAGAGTAAGGTGCCAAGTAATATTAATAAAAATATTTGAATAAAATTATATTAGCATTTTTTAAAAATAATGATAAAATTAAAAATATATTAATATTATTTTATATTATAATATATGCAATACATATACATCTTAATATTTTTGTGGAAGTTGTGATTTTTTTAAAAAGGATTCTTTGTATAGGAAGTGCAAAAGAACAGCAAAAGTACTAATAATTATTAGTAATAAATTACAATTACTAAAATTTCTTTTTAGCAGCATCATATGACCCCTTTAAAAGAAGTCCTTGCTGACCGCAAACATCTGAATGGTCCTGTAGTTGCTCTGAGGATTTGTTTCTGTGGTTGCAGGTGCAGGAGGTGAACGTTCAGATGCAGAAGGAGAAGGAGGTGGAGATGCAGGCGCAGCAGGTGGTGCGCGGGGCTGAGTACACCAGCGCAGGAGCAGGAGGAGGAGGAGGACTCAATAACAGAGGCTGGAACGAGGAAGACCTGCAGCTGCTCATCAAAGCTGTCAACCTGTTTCCCGCCGGAACCAACGCCAGGTGAGTCTCCATGGAAACCGCCTGTTGTATCTCAGACCGAACAGATGATCCAGTGTTTCACTGGCTACGTTTACATGCAACCAAATAATCCGTTTGTAATCGGATTGACGGCTCAATCGGACTGAAAAGCCTTCATGTAAACACCTTAATCGATCTGACTGAGTTCGATCGGAATGAAATTTCGATCGGATTGAAGGGGGAGGTTTATTCCTTTTCTAATAAACAAATAAAGAAACCGTGTAGGAGAGTGGTTATTATGTGCCAACAGTGAGAAACTCTATATTTGTGCAGTGTGCGCATGTCAAAAAAAATCTATTCCAATTTGAAGCTTGTGACATATAAACGCGCACATCAACCCGATCACTTTCTTTAGCGTTCATGTAAACACTACACTCAGATTTATCAATCAGAATGAATTCAGTCCGATTGAACCCAAAATTGGGCATGTAAACGCAGCCAGTGTGGAATCGAAGGTAATGAGGAAGCCGACTCTGCTGCAAAAGAAGCATTATTGGCGGACCCCAGATTTTGTGCTGTACCTCCTATGGATTTAAAACCAATAATTTGTTATTGGTGGGATCTATACACAATGAATAAGCTCCATGAAATTAGTCACAGTGTTGGAAAAAGAATTTTCTAAGCGATGGGACCAGATTGTTTATACCCGCTGTAGAATTGGTCATTCCAGGATGACACACGTTTTTAATACTAGGGGAAGATCCTCCAACATGTTCCCTTCATCCATTAAGCGTGTTTAATTAGATTGTGCTGGTTTTAACTCATTGAGAGAATTTTTTTTATTCCGTTAACTCTTTTGAAGAGAGTTAAGCCAATTAGTGAAAGCGCCTCCTACCATCCCGCCGCCGAGCGAGCGATCCCAGTTCCCGATGAGTGTGTTGGCCACCATGAGCGGGATGGTGTCTGGATGCGACCAGCCGACGGCCTCCACTGCGATGGCTATATGAGCCAGAGGCATCTTATCATCTCGCACACGGATCTGTGAGGAATAGAGAGCAGAACTCCAGGTAAGTCTTTTAAAGTGCTCGTATTGTGCTGTTCATTTAGCATGTTTGTGCACGTGATCTCTAAAGTGAGCTAATTTCTCCAACAGAAAACTACTGCCTCGTTTGTAGTCCTGCCATTATTTCTATTTGTTAATGAAAATAAACGTAAAGTGTAATATTTGTAAAAAATTAAAAACTAACTAAATTGACAAAAGCACACAATTCCCTCTCTGCAACAAAATAAAACAAGAATTTGAGTCTGGTTTTATATAGTGTTCAGATCTGTGTAGTGGAAATATATGCACATTAGTACATATAATAAATATATAATGTTTTCTATATATTTAGATGTAGCATTTCAAAAAAACTTTTTTTTTTTAAATAAAAAAAATAATAAAATTAACAAAAGTACATTTTACAGAGTTCCCGCTGTAAAAAAATATATAAAATAAACAAAAGCATTTGAGCCTGGTTTTATCCAATGTTCAGATTTATGTTTTGGAAATGTATGCAAATTAGTGCATATAATTATATAATCGTTTGTATATTCAAACAAAACATTTAAGGAAACTTAAAACTTGCTCTAATTACATGCATTTTCAACAACAAGCTGTAAGAAAGCAGGATTATCATAATTAACAAAAACTATTAAAAACATTTGTTAACTGAATTAAGGCTGAAATAAAAAAACTTAATTAGAAATGTTGCATTGGTAAGGCCTAAATAAAATTATTAAATGAAAAACTTAAAGGAAAATTTGAAATGTTGCCTTGGATAAGTAAGTTAAAAGTTAAAACACCAAAATAGAAAATAAAAGTGGAAATAAATATAATTAAGCATAAATAGAAATATTTAACAAACTAATCAAATTAACAAAACTACTACCTGTATATGACGACACTATATGACAACAACATAATGCTAAAATACCACTGGAAAGAAGGAGGTAAAATTATTGTTGATCATCACATTGAATAACACATTTTGATACAAAGACCATGTAAAAAAAACATTTTATTGTGATGCGTTGTCTTAGCTGTAATTTCACTCATATT